TATCATAAAAACTTCAGAGCTCTTTGCCTAATTGTTTCTACTTCTAAGTCTCCAAGTCTCAATTGAAATTTGAAGGAGAGAGAATCACCTGGTCCAGTTGGGTTAGGTGACCACCCGTGGACAGAGAATGGGCTGACGTGGGTTTTAGGACTGTCCCTTCTAGGCTGTGGGTTGGCAGGTTCAAAGGTGAACAGGGCAGAAATTATTGGCTGAGAAAGTGACTGGTACCTGGAATATGGTAAGAATAGCACTCGGGTTATAGCTCTGGACTGGAGATAAAAATTTGGGGAAGTAATTAAAAGTAAGATATTGGATGAAATTACCTAGGGAAAGTGTTGGCTCTGAGAAAAAGTGAGGCCTGAGATCAGAATCTTGGGGAGTAGCAGTATTTAAAAAGTGGTGAGGAAGACAAGTCAGTGAAAGTGACTGAGAGGGGATGGAAAAAGAGATAAGAAGAAGATTTCAAAGTCAGGAAGGAGGGAGGGGTCAACAGTGTCAAATTCTACAGAGTTGGGGAGGTTGAGAATTGATGTATGACAAAGAAACTAGTATTAAGTAAATGTTCAGTGCAGAAGTGGAGACAGAAGCCAGATTACAGAGGGGTAACCATATAGCAGAATGTCAAATAAATGAGTGGTCAGGAAGTAGAGGTGACTTCTTTTTAAGAAGTTTGGCTTTGAGTGGAAGGGAGGAAATAGAGCTAATAATGGTCAAGGAAACACATCTACTGATCATAGATTCTGAGGTGGGGAGATACTGAGGATAAGGAAAAGGCAGACAATATTTAATGCAGTCAAGTTCTGAAGGAGGTTGAACAGGTTGGACTGGAGCCACAGAGATTGGGATAACTTTTCCACTGAGAAGGAGAAATTGCATATAAGAGCTACTCAAATATTTTTGAAAGAATAAATGAATAGACTAAGGGAATGGTGGTTGATTTAGTTTGCAGAGCTTGGGTTTTTATTTATCTTGGTGTCTCACTTTAAGTTTAAGGGGATTGGATCTTGAGGCTTGCTGAGGCAGGCCGTGAACATGGTATGAGACAAATGTAACAGCAAGGGCTTTATTCTGCTCTTCTTTGAGATTTTCTGATAATAATACTCTCAGTTTCTTCACTTCTTAGGGAAGCCAGAATTTGAGATGAGAGGGGTGTTGGGGAAAGGGAAATGTGGCTATACAGGAAGAACTGCAGATCAGGAGTCAGAAAACCTTGTATTCTAGTCACTTTCTGACGTTTACTGACCACATGACCTTAGGTAAATTGTATAACTGTGCATCCAGTTTTTTCTTTTATTAAAAGTGTATGATGCTACCTTCTCTGCCTATTTCACAGAATACATATATGCGTGTGTGTATATATACACACATATGTAAGTATATAAAGTTGCTTTGAACTATATATGTATATACTTAAAATATTATAAATATTAGAAAGCACAGTACAGATATAATGCCCCATTAATGTATATTCCAGACATTCTGAGAATGAGGGCTGCCTCTCAGGGATGCCCTGTAGAGCTGTCTAATCTTTTCTAACTCTACATACATGTATGGCATGCCCCTAGAGTTCTGTTTGCTAGGTTTTTTCTTGGCTACTACGAATGCTGAGAGCTTGGCCTGATAGTGCAGAGCATTCCTACTGGCATGGAAAGTGCCTGCAGGGAGGAGCATATTAAAATCACAAATTCAATACTTTCTTGAGACTAGGACATACAAAGTTCAAACAGCCTTATAAATTGCCTCCAGGAATAAAGGCAAAATTTAACTCTACTTCAGAAATTTTCATCCACATTTACGAATGTCACTTTCCTCTGTCTTATTTCCATCTCTGTTGCCGCAAATTAAGACACAACACAAGCATTTTCCTCTGCTGAATTCCTCAGCTTCTCTATAGAGGTAAATGAAAACTAGACTTAAGGTATATTGATCATCGTTTATTCCAGATTCCAGATTCCTATTAGGCCCTCTGGCTAACTTACATCATGCTGTCTCTGATTGCTTTTAGATTCAGGTTATATGGAAACAGCTGTCTGTTTTCATGGCTGGCATAATGGGTATAAACTAGCAATACCTGGCATCTACATTGTAGGTTAATAAATAGTGCCTATGAATCAATTTGTGTTCATCTTCATTTAGAAGCATTTATTATGCCAAATCAGACCAGGCATGGGTGAGGGACTGTGCCACGTTTATTCATTTTCTTGTCAATTGTATGTTTTGAAATCAGATTTCTATTTGTTTTTTCTCTTGTGGCTCCATTTTCAAACAAGTGACTTTACTGACCTTATATTTTAAGACAGTATTGTCACTGGAGTTTTAGTTCCTCATCTGGCTTTTCTAATTCTATGATATAGTCTTGTCCTCTATGGCTCAAGTTATCAGATATTATTGAATGTAAAAAGAATTTTTTGAAACAAAATTAAGTAACCAATTTTGACTGTGATTAATGAAAGCTATAAACAGTAGATCTAAGGGAGAGAAAGTCACAAAATTGATAAGGGTTTTAGTACAAAGGAAAGTACAGAAAAGTGAATGGATAATTGAGTGGGTCCTAACTCATAGGAGGTGTACAGCAATAATTATGTACTAATTTGTTTCTGCTGAAATCCAGCAGAAAAGTTTGAATTCTTTTGGATGGAGGCATGGTTCAAAGAGATATTGATAATCCCTTGGAAACAACCTGCATCTCTTAATTTACTCTGTGATTGTTTCCAAATGACTTAAAGATTTGGTCCCTTAAAACAAAATACTTCAGGCCTGGTGTGGTGGCTCACACCTGTAATCCTAGCACTTTGGGAGACTCAGGTGGGTGGATCACCTGAAGTCAGAAGTTCAAGACCAGCTTGGCCAAAATGGTGAAACCCCATCTCTACTAAAAATACAAAAATTAGCTGGGTGTGGTGGCACACCGCCTGTGGTCCCAGCTACTCAGGAGGCTGAGGTAGGAGAATCGCTTGAACCTGGGACGCAGAGGTTGTAGTGAACCGAGATCATGCCACTGCACTCCAGCTTAGTCAACAGAACGAGACTCCCTCTCAAAAAAACCAACCAAACCAAAAAACTTAACAAATTGTCACTTATGGAGTTCATCACCAAAATTCTATGACCAGAAACCTTAAAAAGTCATTTCTCATGTCAACTGGAGGATTAGAAAAATATGTTTTGTTCTTTTCTCTAATAGCTAATCACCACATGTGTAAAGCCATCTAAATCTGCACTTAGTTTTTACAGACAAAGTAAAATTCCAGATGGAAACAAGAGAGGGCCTCTGTTTTGGTGATGTATCATTTATTGACATTTCAAAAGTACAAACACATTTGAGTAACTAGCTGTTACTGGGAAAAAGAAAAAGCATTAGATTCAACATTGCTAAGCACAAAATAAGAACAATGGGTATGTACAGGGTGATTGCTAGAAATTATTCTCTCTTATGATACAAAGACATTGGGCATACATAGAAAATTAATATTTAAAACAAAATGTTCTTATTTAATATTTGACCATTCTGGATCTAAAGAGGATCCTAACCTACTAGCTTGGGTGTGTATGTATGTATGCATATATATATATATATGTGTGTGTGTGTATGTGTGTGTGTGTTTATATATATATATATTTATATATATATATTTATATATATATATTTATATATACAGGGTCACCTACATACTGACATTGATACCCCCTGACAGTGCTGCGAACAGGGCAGCGCACACACTGGATGTCCAATACGTATTTGTAAATGAAATAATGTACATTTGCTGTGCCATAATTTACACTTATATAACTAGCACAAAGCATAATGGCACAGACTATTGTGAATAAGTTTTGCCTTCCTTGAGACTTTACTGGGCCTCCAGCAGTATAAGATAGGGAGCAATGGAAGAAACCTAGGGAATGTAGGGCATTCAAAGGGCTTGCTAAGTGTAAAACACAGACGTCTTCACTATGGTCATCTGGGAGAATACACAAGAGTCTGCGGGGTTAGTCTCAAGGGCAGCTGATGCTTGAGCTACTGACAACAGTCCGGCTTCTGATGATTCCTCTTTTGCAAAAAGAAAACAAGTAAAGAAAGGAAGGGATGAAGGAAGAACGGAAAGAAAGGAGAAGGAAGTCATTTGGAACTAATTAGCAATATGCGCAATAGGATTTTTTTCATCTTTTATTGAATTCTGCATATAACATTGGCAAAGAAAACATTTTAAATCCAATGACAAATTTTAAAAATGAATCAGATGAAAATATTACATAATCAAAACTCACAGGTATTTTCTGATATTTACTTAACAAAAGGCCCAAAATGATTATGACAAGAACATCAGAGAATATAGTATAAAGCTTATTTCAACTTAACAGTAATATGTATTAAGTTAAAACAACTCAATGACAAAGGATAAACATAGAAAAAAATAGAATATGTTTGATTTTACATCTTATTCAGAATTCCATTATTATCACTGCTTAAGAATATTTCATTTCATACAAAATAATACTTGCTTGACTTATTTATTTGATGAAGAGAACTAAATTCAATGTTAGAAAATTTTAAATTCCAATATAATAAGTTCTATTTAAATATTCACAGTAACACTGCATTGCTAATCAGTAAAAGTACAGCATACAGACTGTTGACTTACAAGGGAAAGCAGTAACAGTGTCTCTCTGTTGTCTGAGAAAGGAATAAAAATGTAATACTGTGTCATGAATTGAAACATGAATGTCTTTCTTATTCAAACTAAGCAGTCATTAGATTGTAACTGGGAACATTCTTTAGTAAAATTTAAAATATGTGGATACATTTTACTAAATATTTGAACTATGATAAAAGTAATATTGTTATCTAATACTTGATAATTAATTCTTTTTGAATAGTTACAGGAAATGACTTTTCTTAAAGGCAGTTTTTCTCCCCAGTTCCTCTTCTCTGTCCTTCACTAATCACAGAATAAGTGTGATGAAATATGCTGAAAAATGGTTACTAGGGTGGATCTGTTTTTTTGTCCTCTGAATTAGAATGGATGCAGTTTCTTGGGTTGATTACTGCTTTATTCAACTGTTCAGAAATCAGTCATTATGATGGATTTTTGAAAAGGGAGATTAGAAATGGCAGTCAAGACCAATTTTTAGTCTAGGATTCTGATATCAAGTGAATTCAGTGTCTGTGGTCAGGGTGTACGTTTTAGGTAGAAAATGTTTGAATATCACTCTGTGGAAGGACTATAGTCTGAAAGTATCTAAAAAGGTCTGACAAGAACAGCAACAATGTCTTTGAACTAAAATTGGAAAATTCCCAATGTATGTTTTAAAATTTTTTTGTTAAAGCTTTAAAGATAATAGCAGTGACAGGATAAAAATAACATGACAAAAGGTGAATAGTGTAAAGAGCATATGAGGTTAGTGGCCATATTATTCTAGACTAGTCACTGGATCTTTCTAAACCTTGGTTGTTTAATCTTTAAATTTCAGAGGACATTAGTATTTCATATGAATATTTTAAAGATTAATTATGTGAATGATCTTTGCAAAGTATGATAAGCAAATCTTATAAGTAAACGAATGCTAGACTCTATGAAAAAATTGAGGTGTTGTATTTGTTATTCTGACTTCTGCGTAATCTATATATTTCAAAAATAGATTATTACAATATGTAGCATAACACCTAGAAATATTACATAAACTGCTTCCCCTTGCACATGTGTGTGTGTATATATATATATTTATATTTGTGTGTGTATATGTGTCTAAGAGCTTTTAAACATAAATTATACCATTCTGTGGGATAGTTTCAAAATGGTCTATATAGTGCCCTTAAAAGTGAAAAAAAGAGGATATTCTTATTTGGTTTATAGTCATACATTTTATGGCATTTAAGAAAAACACTTTGATAGTTTAAACTAAATACTTAACCCCATCCCCCACCCCCAAACACAGCATTAAGAGATCACACCATAGAAACAATTTACCAGAAGACATACCGCTATGATTTGTTCAGGATGGCCAGTTCACAAATTATTGTAAGATACAATATTAATACAATATGCTAGAATCACCATTTATCAAGTTTCATCAACTTTAAAAAAATGGACAAAATCACTTCTCACAAAGATCACAGTAATACATAAGTGATTCAATTACACCTAAAGTGAAAATTCAGATTCATAAAACCAAAATGATCAGATTAAATGTTTTAATTAATTGCTCCACTAGTCAAAATGCACACTTCCTATTATGATAGAGGCCTTTAAAAACTGCCCCCTTTTCTGAATGGAAGGGATATAAGACTAAACTTCTGGACAAATAATCTCAGTATGACAAAATATTTCTGTATTAATCAATTTCCCGAGTGTCCACATTTTAGTATCCTTCTAATATCTTTCTGTCATAAAACCAGGAACCAGAATATACTCCTGTTTTTCTATAGGTACAGTTGCCTCTTACCTATGTTGTGCAAAAGCTAAAACCCTTCTTTACCTAACTATCCACTATTGCCAAACAGATGTGTTTGGGTTATCCCTGAATTTTGTTTCTCACTCCTGAGCAAAATGAATTGCAATATGGCTCTATCAGGCCTCCTTTGTATTCAAAAACATTCACAAAATTTTGTGACTATTATTTTAAATTACAGTCATTTCTTCTGGGACCAAAAGAGTATTAAGTTTTTAATGTGACAAAAATGCACCTTACAATCTGCTACAGTTCATTGATAAGCATAATATACTTGCTTCTGATTTGCTACATGTTTATAAAACAACAAAATTTAAAGAGAAGATTAACTGGAACAGACATTCTGTTTAGGTAACTCACTCAGCATTCAAAGATGAAATGACAAATCATAATAGCTTAAAGCCAAAGTCAAAATAAAAAGATTTACCTTTTATATGTCTTGCTGAGGTCAATTATTATTATTAGAAACGAGAACATTTGGACTTGCAATCTGTTCAGTCACTCAAGTAGAAATATGTGGCATTTTAGTGAACAGAGGTGAGCAACATGTACATGTACACATATAACAATCTGAAAATGTTATAGAATTCTCAGAGATGAAAAGAGACATACAGATTACTAAATTTAAAAAGTCTTCACTTTACAGATAAAGAAACTCGGGCTCAGAGAAGTTAAAGTAACTTTCCTAGGGCACATGAGAGTTTTTGGCAGAGCCAGCACCACAGCACAGACACCTGCTTAAGCTCTACCAATCTGCTTCTTGTGTAAAAGGAGTCAAGAGATCATAAAGCAAACACTTCTTTCATTCCAACCTTTTCCCACATTTCCCTGCTCTCAGGCTTAAAATGTTGAGTGTGCAATAAGGCTCTGGCACTGTTTTAGCGTTTCATAGAAAATTTTCAAGTTGCCTTAATATTTAATTAAACAAATGCCCTTCCCTCCTTTCTAGCTATTTAATTAATCTGTTTCCATTCCACAGACTGATTTTTCTACTTTTTTGATACCATTAACAGATCAGTGAAAATTCTAAGGAGAAAGAGTCCTATTTCCTTTTCTCACAATCAATTTGAAGAATGATATATTTAACTTTCAAGGCTTAAATCTTACTTCATGTATTCTTTCCTGCATAAGAAAATCTGTGTACTTTTCTTTTCTTTTCTTTTCTTTTTGAGATGAAGTCTCCCTCTGTTGCCTAAGCTGGAGTTCAGTGGCACAATCTCGGCTCATTGCAACCTCCACCTCCCGTGTTCAAGCAAATCTCCTGCCTCAACCTCCCAAGTAGCTGGGACTACAGGCATGCACCATCATGCCCAGCTAATTTTTGTATTTTTAGTAGAGATGGAGTTTCACTATGTTGGCCAGGCTGGTCTCAAACTCCTGACCTAGTGATCCACCCGCCTTGGCCTCCCAAAGTGCTGGGATTACAGGCATGAGCCACTGCACCCAGCCCTAAGTTTTCTTCAAAGCATTTCTCAAATGTGTATAATGAGAATTTGGGGGCTGGTAAGGGTTTTGGAGATCACTGAATCCAGCACACTCATCTTACAATTTAAGCCTGCAAACTGAAGCCTAGTAATGTAACTGATTTACCTAGGGTCCCACAGGCAGAAAGTAGATGAGAATTCTGGTCTACTGTTATCTAAACCAGTACCATTTTTACTATCCATTCTGTGAACCATATTCAGTATGACAGTTGACTCATCTGACACCATCCTGTACTTTTATCATAAAAATCTGGGCTTTGTCTTTATTTAAAACTGTAACCTGTAATAATAATTCAGATCTTAAATATACTATAATGCATACAGTTGTGCCATTGGTGTTTTATAAAGGTAATTTTTGTGTCTATTTTTGTAACACCTACTGATCCTTATTAAAACATCGGTATGTCTAAAACCTCCTGTAACAAACACAGTTGATCAGTTTGTTTCAATCATCCCAATAGCTGATGTGGATTACTTTGCTGCTATCCAGGCTGTAATAATTAGTTACAAGGATTAGTTGGCTGCAATGGACTGACTATTCTCCAGGCCAATGTCTCTACTAAATGGGCTAACATGGAACAAAGAAAAGGTAGTGGCTATATTTTCACTTTAATCACATATCATCTTGACTAAAGGTTCACATTGCTCAAACCTGAGATAGCTGTCAGACTTTTATTTTCCTGTAGTGATCTGGTCTCAAAGTTTTGACACAAAGAAATTACCAGCAGATTGTGAGAAATTCATTGTAGACTTTGCCTCAAAGAAAGTTACCTAGATTGTATCTCGTGTTTATCTGTCTGTCTTGCTGCAAGTATAAGATTGTTTTAGTTACTGATTCTCATACAGTGCAATTCATCACTTGTATTCCATTCTGTGGGGCATCAAAAAATTTATAATCTTGGCTTTGCTACTGAAATGTTTTTATAGTAATTAAAATTCTACAAGTGCTCTCATTATCACATAGCATTGTTATACACTTAAATAACAGAAGATTGGTTATTTATGCATTTGTTCAGATATATTTTGAAACTAAAATATGGAAATAAAAAGTGCTCTATATAATAAATTTTCACAGTTTGACTTTTCATAAGGCTTATGAAATAATATACAAATAGCTACCATTCTGCTGAAATGTCACAGTAAAATACATTAATGGCACAGAAGTGAAATGTCCCCAAAAGGGAAACCATCTTCATGACCTCCTAAATCTCTTTTCCAACTAAAACTTGTCTTTAATTGAAAAAGAGTTCCATTTCTAAAAGAATATAAAAATAGAAAATGAGTTAAGGAAACTTTTACATTTATAATTTTGAAGGAAAAGTTATAAACATTAGATGAAATATTATATTTAAAAATGTGCTTTGTTGCACCACACCAAACATCCCATGAAAACAAAATGAAATGAACATATTATATATGAACTGTTGAAAGCATAACTATTATAATTTTAATTAAGATAGAATACTAAAACGTAATAAGTAGTCATATATTTTTGTAAAGTTTATCTCAGCTAAAACCTATAACACTAATTTGAAAATCTATCATTTTGAATAAAAAATAAAATAATGTTTAATCAAGCAAGGCACATTTCTTTTAGGCAAGTCTGTCTTTAATACCATTTATTTGGGCACAGTGTAGACCTCACTTATTTATATGTAAATGGGCTAATCTATGTATGAGAGCCTTTGGTACAAAACACACCTTCACAAATAAAGTTGCACATAACCCAGAACATGGAACATAACATGACTATATCTCATGATTAAACACAGTCCACTAATTAATTGAAAAAAGAAAAAAGTAACAGTTGGCTTGTTAGAAACAAATTTTAGGTTTCTTTATCTGCAGCACTGATTATAGTTTTTGGATGATTTGATTTCATCAAAATGTCAAAAGGATGCAATGATACCTTAATATTTTCAAGATTCTTCATCTATTGATCAAATGTCTTTTATATGGCACACAATACGAAGCAAATCCTCCGACGTCAGAGTTGTTCCCTTTATATAAAGCATTTGTTAGAGACATATTATTTAATGTCAACTGAAATAAAAATATGTGCTGTCAGGTGGATCATTGCCCATCAGTGATATAATTGCCACTGCATTCTTGATCCAGGCAATTTAAAATGGAGCATCCTACGGGTCAGTGCAGCTCTACGGTTCTTTATGTGGGGGTCTCTTCAGGGATCTGTCAGACAGAGTAAACACAATAATTTACTGATATATTTAACTTAAAAAAACTATAAAGTTTATGTCAACAGAAAATGTTCCATTTATTATATTTTTTAAAATTCTGGCTTTTAAAAAAACTGTTACCCTGAAAAGTTCAGGCAATTGAATTGTCTAAATGTATTAACTGTGTATTTCTTTTAATTTGTAACTTAAAATTATAAACATTTTTTCTACTAATAATGACCTCGAAATTTAGTCCAAACCGGTGTGATAGTTTGCTTTTAGACAGAAAATTTATCTTCATTCTTCGAATCATCTGAAAAGTTCTGAGTACCTATTGATTTTTAGAAAAATGTATGTATTAATTTTCTCAGTGTATTTCCAAGAACTTTTTTTTCTGGCTGTCCATCCTACTGTGGTAATCTATGAGAACTCCTGAAATAAAAATCCAATGCTAAGTGTCATGGAGAGAAAAATAGAGAGAGAGAGAGAGGGAGAGAGTCTCCAAATGAGTGCTGAGAAAACCATGGTCTATGTGCTAACAGGATGTCATTCTTATCATTTATCTCTTCATTACAAATAACTTTTAAATCTGTCGATTCTTTAAAATATGAACTCTCCATAGTTATATACCACTCAAAATATCCCAAATTAAGACAATAATAACCACTTCACAGGGTCTATGGAGAATCAAGAAATAAAGGTTAAAGCTATGGTGCTTCTCTCTCCTAACTGCCAAAATAATTATTGAGAAATCTTGATAGCAAAATACTTCTTAAAAAGAGCCAAAACAATATGAAAGTCTTATTTACTTTCTACATCCAGAATCTAGAATGGTGTTTGGCATTCTATACTATTCATACTACAGTACATGCTTTATATGCTTCATGAATGAATAAACCTCTGTCACCCTGGGTAGTGTCTGACACATAGGAGGTACTCAGTAAATACATATTGAATGAATAAATGGATATATAAAAATTAGATTTATATACTCTAACAATTTACTGACTATATAATATAAAGACAGAAATTATAAAGAGAAAAATAAAAGATGTTATAAACTCAGCTCTGTATTTGACTATGTTAATATCATCCATCATAATATATAGAGAAGACTATTTCCCATATATACTCCTGGTTTTAGCACATGCCCAAAACTTGTGGTAAATGCCCAAAGATGGTGCTTTGAAATTTGAGTATGCTTTTGATGGAAGAATCATTCACTTGCTAAATTAAATACTGTATGCCTACTGTGTGCTGGGCAATCAATTATCTATCTATTTAAAATTTTTTCTTATTGTCCTTGATTAAATACTTGGTCACCTTGATTTCGCAGATAGATCACTGCCCATCAGTGAGTTTAAGTCTTCATATTGATGTTTAGGTAAAAAGAGAGTATGTTCATAGTATGCTTAATTTTCACTATCAGAGTTTTAAAGTTATACAGTTATTAATGACTACTAATTATGAGAAATCAAAAGTCACATTAATGACCTAGCATTCATTTTATTTCCTAAGTGCCTAGGCTCTGCTCAATGCTATTGCAGCTTTGTTTACTTTCAGAGGTCTCCATTAAGCTGTTCTTGTCTTGCTGCTGTTGTATTCTTTTTATATAAAAGGTTGGGCCTTAAAAAAAACCCTCATGTATTAATACCTGCCTCTGAAGGCTCTTGAGATTATTAAATAAGAATGGTACAGGATGGCATCCTAATAAAGTATAGGTGTTAGAGGGAGTTCTAATTCAACAGAAACAAAAATAAAAGTGATATCAGGATAATAATCATAACATCTATACTAGTGGTTAAGATGTGGGTTGAAAGGCTTAGAAAAATGGACATTAAGTATCAAAATCAATTCTATAAAAAGAGAAAAAGGAGGTACAATAGAAAACAGTGACCTATAATTGAAGATAATTTACCAAATAAATGTTCTAACATATAGAACAAGAAAAGAGAGTAAGAATGGTCAAATTTCAATAATCATCAAATTTATGAAGAAGTAATTAATACCTCCAAAAGGCCTAAAGGAAAGAGGTACAGAAACCTAGCTTTACTTTTAGTCTCATTAACTTATATTTGATGAGAAAAGAGTTGAAGGCATTCTATAGCATGTATTTTTATGGGAACTTTGTTCTTATGTGTTTATATAGTTTGACATCTATTAAATTACTTAGAATTAGTTATACACTAAGTTTTACCAAGTAAATGGTAATGAATAAGCTCAAGAACTAGAAAGATTTCTTACTCAATTATATATGATTTTCTGATTGAGGTCTTGAAAATTATGTACTCTTAGCAAGGAAAAACCTTTAATCTCAGTGAGTAAAGTCAGTAATATGGTAAGATATGAGCTTTTAAAAAAATCTAGAAAGTCACGGGAAAATGAGCCGTAAGGTAAAATCGATACTACTTTGAACAGTAGTTAGGTCTACTAATAATAAATATCCTCAATTTTTATGGTCACACAGTAAAATGATCTTCTGAAATCAGTTAAAAGGTCGCAGGTAAAAGGTCTACAGAATCCAGGTATAAAGCAATTCAAACAGTTCTTCCTTGGAGAAATTATTTCTGTCTGTACTTTTTGGTTATCCAGTAAATTTTGCTCTTTAGAAGTCTAACACATAGTCACTCTTGTTTAACATACTTTTCATAATAATTTCTTATAGAAGAAATGTATTCATGACTATCTGATATTTTATTGTTCTGTAATCAGACATGAGGTAAATACAAAATGTAATGGCACATAAGGCTGCCTCTTAAATGTCTAACACATTGACTAAACAAGGCTATAATAGAAAATCAAGTAAAACTCATATTTATTTAAATGACAAAAATAAACAATGTCACAATCTTTCATCCAAAACCAGAAAAAAATAAAAACAGATTTCAATAATACATTTTGTGTCATTTCTTTAACGATCCCTAACAACATTTTTCTCAGACGGGCAAAATGATCTTTCTCCTATGTGAGCTTAACTGTATAAAGTGGTGTAAGGAGAAAACAGTTTCTAATTTCTAATTTCTACATATGTAAATTCAGTCATATACGTCAGTTTTAAATTTATTGACATGTTTGGTAAGGAAATTGTGCCACTTGGATATGCAGAGGCAACAATCAGGTCATTCTCTGGTCTGGTTTGCCTGATAAATCCAGGGAAAGGAGAAAATTCAAAAGGGGTGCAGGGAAAATTCCTCTCTATTCTTATTAGGAGAATCTTTGTTTCCTACTGCAGAGGAAAGTACCTTGGTTACAATATTACATAAAATCATGGAAATATCTGCAGTGGTCATATCAATGCTTTAATTAGTTTCAGTAATTCCATACTATATGTGTTGATATTTCAATGGTGTTAGGAATATCCCAAAACTCAGAACCAAAAGCTACTGGATTGCCTTCACCTTCCATATTATTATTTAGAAGCAGTCTAAGTTTTAACATTTTATAAATATCACTCTAAGAATCTGCTCCTACTTTTCATTAATTAAATGTCCCCATCTCCTTTCATGTATGAACAGTCACTTCAAAAAATAGCTAACTTTTAAATGTCATAATTTTAAGAGGTAGTGATAATTACATTTAAAATTAGGTTATTTTGCAAAAGATATCCAATCAGGCCATATCTACAGCGATGTAATTCTGTAATGTGATTCACTAGTGAAATATAATGTTTGATTCAATCAGCTTCCATAGTAATGAAGACTCCATGGATTTTTAGGACTCATCATTAACTGAAACCGAGACTGAACTTATAGGGAAGTTTCTTAGAATGTCTGATAGATAGATAAGCCCTCTGGAGATATCACTTGTTTGTTCTGATTTTGCTGTGTCATCCTGGTCAATTAGTCAACATGTTTATGTTATCACTAATGAAAAACACTCTTTAGCTATTATGTAGGATAAAATCATGGTCTTCGTGAAGCATTCTAACTTCCAGGTATCCTTAGTGACTAGGTACCTTCAGTGATATCTCATATAAGGTAACAGTTAAGTTACTTACATTAAGGGATTCCATCCCCATACTTGTGTGGTATAATACTTCTTGTGGAAAACTTGCTGGAGCATGTTTTAACAAATTTAAGCCCTCTCCAGGAAATTGATTACAAGGAATATTGTCCTTCAGAGCATGATGAGGAGAGTAAGCCACATAGTGATTACATGAGGTAGAGATGCGTGACATGAAAATTTTGTTTACAGGTTAAAAACACCTCAATTTGGAATGCAATTTCCTTCCTCTCATCTCTCCTTCCAATAGACACTTATGGAGCAGCAACTGTATTTCAGGTACTATGCCAGGTTTTGGGTGATATAGCACACTGAGCAGACAAAACTCCTTGTCCTCATGGAAGGGAATGCAAAACAGACAATAAACAAAATAAACCAAATACTTAATACATTAGAGGAAAAATTAACCAGAGAAAAGATATAGAGCATGTTATGAGGCTGCAATTTTAAATACTGTGGCTAGTGACACCTGAAGGAGGTGATGGAGGCAGTCATGCAGATATCAGATGCTAGAACATTTCAGGCAGGGGGAACAACAAATACAAAGACCCCAAGGTGGAGAATGCCTGGTGCAATCTAAGAAGATCAAGGTGGCCAGTGTGGCTGCAGCACAGGATCAAGTGGGAGAGGAGTTGAAAATTAGGTCAAAAGGGTAAGGAGGGCAAAATGAGACAGGGCCTTACAGGCCATTGTAAAAAAACCTTTAGTTAGTACTCTGTGTAAAATGGGGTGCCAAATGGTGGTCTTGACACAAAGATGTAACACAACTTGATAAGTGTTTTAAAAGAAACACTCTGGTAGACTCAAATAAGAGGAAGGATGGAAACTGGAAGACCAATCGGGAAGCTACTGTAAAAATCCAGGTGAAGATAATGATGGTTTAGATCAAGTAGAAGTGTTATGAAGTGGTAAGGCTCTTGAAACATTTTAAAGGTAGCATCGACAGTATTTGCCAGTAGATTAAATAAGTAATGTAAGAGAAAAAGAAGAATCCAGGATAATTCCAAGGATTTTAGCTTGAGCAACTGGAAAATTGACGCTGCCAGTAGTGAAGGTGGGGAAGAGGGCAGGAAGTACAGGCTTGATGGTATAGAGAGTGGAGAAGGAGGGAAATTCAGTTTGGACATATTAAGTTTGAGATGTCTATTAGATATCCAAGTGGAGATGCCACATAGATGGGTGAAAAATTCAATTAGGAGCTCAAGGAAGAAGTCTATGTGGGAGATACAAATTAACATACATAGACAGTCTAAAACTATGAGAATAAGATGGGATGAAAAACGAACAGATGGGAAAGAACCAGTAAATAAGATTAAGAAGGAGAGACCAGAGAGGTAGAAAAAAAATCCACAGTGTGATATCTTGGAAGTCAAATAAAGACAGTCTTCTTAGAAAGGGGGAAGTACCCGACCAAGCCAAATGCATCTGATAGGCCAAATTGAAATCAGAACTGAGAAAGGCCCACTGCGTATCATTATATGAGGTCACCAGTGACCTTGCCAAGTACACTTTTGGCAGAGTGACAGGTGTGACAGCCTTTTGGAGCAGACTCAGGAGAGAGTGGGAAGGCATTCAGTGGTGAACAAAGAGAGATATAGTCCCCACTCTCGTGGAAGAAACAGAAATTGATCATATAACACAAATTAATATAAAATTACAGCTATGTCAAGCTCACATACTATGTTTAACACATTCTAAGACACGTGTTTTTAGATTTGAGCATCTATGAAATTGGGATGCACCTTAAAGTCACTGGTACTTTATCCTAACAATTGGAAATTTAAAAAAATAGTACATAAATAATGGTATTTCTTATAATCAAGGGCATCTTCAATTTAATGAACTACTATACTGTAATAGGATAACTGAAAAAACTAGAGTCATGAGAGATGCCCTGGAGAAGTATTGAAGTAAAAATAGAAGTCAAGAGGTGAGGCAAGAAAGAGGAGGCTGGCAGTGAAACATTTGCAAAGATCTCCATTAGCTTAAGGAGAAAAGGGAGTTTATCCTGTATCTGGAAGAAGACCAGAATAACTGGAGCACAAAAGAATGAGGGGAGAAACATAAACAAAGAGGAGATAAGGCTGAATATGAAATTATGTGGGGCCATAAAGGCTATACTAAGCCTTTGGGGCTCTATCCTAAAAACAAGAAGACCCTGAAAGAATTTTAAGCAGGATGGGTTATGTAATCAGATTTTGGTTTCAAAAAGATCATTCTGGCTACCAAGTAGAGAAAAGGTCAAAGAGTGGCCACAGGAAATGTAAAGATGCCATTAAGAGACCTTCACACTTACATAGGATAGAGATGATAGTGTGGATTAGAGTCGTCCTAGCAGTTCCATAGCAAAGTGGGCTGTTTTTAGAGATATTTGGGAGGCTAAATGACAAAATTTGGTCATAGGTTGAGTATATTTACTATTTCTATGAATATTATTTCATTAATAAAGACACTGAAAACACTAGGCAATACACCTGTGTTTTAAGTAAGCCTGGAAAACAAGAAAAATGATTTGTAAATATTGATGCTGCACATATGGAATCAGAACCAATATTTTGGAAATTCACTAGTTTTCAGAAAAAAAAAGATCATTTAGATCTATAGATAGAAAGTAAATTGTATTGCAGGATTGGAAGTAATCTATGAACAGGTGAGGTGTTTGTGTGTAGTGTGTGTGTGTGTGTGTTTGTGTGTGTGTGTGTGTGTGTGTGTGTGTGTGTAATAAATTGTCCCCACTGCTTCTCTTCCAAATTAAGTATGTTTTAATTTACAGAATATGTTTAAATGTATAAAAATAAGAACGTTAATATTCAGAGGGACTTCATAATGAACGGGAGTTTAAAATAAATGCAATGGAAGACAAATGAAATAACAGTGCTGTGTGATATAAAACATGTAGGCACAATGCTAACTTTCATTCTAAAAAGTTGGTGGGGGCCTCCAAAGAGATTCCCAAGAGTCTTTGTGCTATGAGATTAGGAGTGGGTGTGAGGTTGGAAGCTCACTGGAAGAGAAAAAGCTTCTCCCCAATCACTATCACCATTTTGGAAGGTATGACTCTTGTATCTGCAAAGTCAGTCTTGTATGATCAAATTTATTCATAACATTCTTCAGATATGATGAAATATAGCTTTTTCTCCACTTAAGTGCTGCATTGCTAACAACTAGAATCCCAGGCTTTATTTTTTAGGGCAGAGTTCCTATTCCACACTGTTTAGGTTACAACAATAACAACATGGCTCCCAAGAAAATGATGGAGCCGCTTTTCTAGTTCTCTTCTTAAAATGCATTTGATGGCTAATGGTGCAAATTTTGAAATAAAAGAAAAAACATCTGGTACAAAAAAACCCAGAAAAATCATGAAAATGTTTCTTTTTAAAATGCATTTTTCTTCACAATTTTGAAAATTAGCTCACAACATCATTAAAAACCAAGATAAACATCTGAAAGCTTTCTAACCAGTCTTATTTAAATTACACTTGCAAACTGAATATGAGTACATAAAGAATACTATTATGATATGCTATACAGCAATGGCCATTTTCTGCCGGAAAGTTAAGAGTTGAGTCACAATAATAAGGTCTAGGCTCTGATTGGTTTCTGCTCTCTTTTTCCTGCATTCTTTGATTTACTTTTGCTCAAAGGTTATCAACCACTTCCTAAAGGTATATAAAAAACAAGTGATTTCACTAATATATATATAAAATTGTCCCCAAAACCATAAGGAACAGTACAAAAATCAGTAATTGTATCCTTAGTTTAAAAGGCCTAATACAAAACAGAAAAAAGAAGCTCCCACCTTAAAAATGCAATCCCTAAATATTCTCTTCCACATTCTTATGCTCCTCACCTCTATCTCACAGTGTTTCCATAAGTCTTCAGATTATGGGACACGTGTGCTTCCTTGCATTTCTTAGTGGGAAGGGTTATCACTTCTATTCACAGCTGAGAGGTAGGAAGGACTTGGAACTGCTGTAGAAAATGTTGAAATTTTAAATGTATAGAAGTCAGTAAATTATAGTTATGGCTCTCAAAGGAATAGACTACTAGTATATATTATATACATTGTATTTACATACTATAGCAAAGCAAATGCTTGAGTATGTTATATGCCAAAAAGGTAAATAAGTTTTATGCCAACAAACCATAACTTTAAATCTCTTCATACTGTGCATTTAAAATTTCAATACTAAATTTTTATTTCAAAGTTTAGAAATAACTGACATAATGCTTCCTCCTATGTGTAGGTGCCTGTGGTTATGTCACCATAATTGGTATATCATATAGTCTTAAAACATCATAAAAGAAATAAAATAATAACAATGTTAACTTCTGTGTTTCATCTGGATTCATTAGCTGTAGGGCATATACATTTTTTCCCAGGGTGTTGATGGATGTGCACTGATCCAGTCATGCCTCCTCACATGAATCTCTTGCTATGCACAGACATATGTATATTTCTTTAACACCTAAGACATGCAACTGACCTCAACAGTGAAGCGTGTAGTTTGGCAAAGCTAGGTAGCATATGAAAACATAGACTCATTAGTATTTTGCTTTAAGCCCAAGTCACTATCCATTTTTATTTCATAAATGATTTAAGAACTTAGAGAAAGGTCTGCAGCTATTATGTCAGAAAAATTATATTTTTATTTATTTATTTATTTATTTTAGAGCACAGATGCCCTTAAAGATCCTTGGAGTGGTTAGGTAAGGCAATACTGTCACAAGTTTCAATGAACTGGCAATCTCTTTTTGCTTTTAATACTTCTGTTCTGAATAATTTCTTCCCTCTTAATAAGGGAGAGTCAAAATATTTACATGGCTTTCTGGAATGGTTCTTCAGTAACTTAAGCAAAGTATAAGGCAATAGAAAAATAATTTGCATAATGCTTTCACTATTGTTGATTAAAACACATGAAAACAAAAAATCTTAAAACTGAAAAATATCTATTGTCCTAGCAGTTATCATTAAACACTACCATGACTGGTTATATAGATAAGCCAACCATAATAAAATAATCTTTTGTTATTAGAAAAGTCCATCTCTTCATCTGATTTAAATAACTTATATTTGATCCTTATATTTGGTTAAAATATCCGATATTTTAAACAGGTTAATTTTCTGTATACTGAAATGAAACAGATTTCTGGAGATATGTTATCTACCTCAACTCATTAATTAGTGACATGGGCTGAAGCCAAGACTAAGAGCGTAAGAGATTTATTTTTTGTCTTTCAAGTCACCTAATAAAAGTAGGATGTGTTTCAGAGCCAGAATAACCTGGCTTTAAATCATTGCTGAGTCTTCTGCGAGCCATGAACTCTTAGAGAAATCACTTAACTTTAATCATCTATTTTTTGCCCTCCTAAAATGAGGTTAATAGCACTTATTGCAGAGTTGACAAGTGTCCAGGACATGGTTGACCCTTAATGAATGGTAATTATTATTGTTATTGAAAGGAAATAGGAAGACATTGATTATGTATTTCATATTCACGAAGCATTGTATTAATTACACAATGCTTGTGAATAATGATCCCAATATAATCTCTTAACAAAATCTCTGATGCCATGTCATGAAATTATTTTTTCTAAGTGTTGTACCTGTATTAACATTTACTGTTCACAACAAACCTATGAGGTACTATTTATCACCCTCATTTTACAAACAAAGAAACTGAGGCACAGAGAGTAATTTGCTCAAGATCATAGAGCAGAGTCAAGATTCAAACCCTGGCAATATGACTGCAGAGCTTATGCTTTTAACCACTTCAATAAAAGCCTGGAAATAACAGCAGTCATGTAAGATAACAGCTATTAACTCAACAAATATAAAAGGTGCCACATTCTGTGCTAGGCACTAGTACCCAAAACTTTCAAAACACAGAGCCTATAGCCTTTAGGGAACTTACAATGTGGTGACTACAAGCAATCATATTACCTCAAAGTTATGACTCAAAAGCCAGGATATTTCTCTGGATTAAAGAACAAAGGTCCCCTTTAAATTACTGCTAGTTAATAACCATAAGAATTATGGCACGACCATAATTTACTTATAGAATTAATCAACGTTTCTGCATCTTCAGAATAAATGTGACTAAACTTGTCATTGCACTTCATTGACCTCTGTGTTATTTTAAAAACAGATACAAAAATTATTTTTATGTAATTGTTATAATGTATCTAACATATTTTCAAAATGTGTCATAAAAATAATTTCTGGTCATTAAGGGTACCAAAAGTTTGGTCAAGAGATAGATCAATGTCAAAGGTTAACTCAAACAAAAAGCAAAGAAAACTAGATAATAGAGTCATATTTAGATGTACATAGATAAAAACAAACAACTAATCAATGATAGGTATATTTAGATTTCTTGCCTCTATTTGTTTGGTGTTTTCCTTCCTCATCACTCCCTTGCAGTCTCAATCATTATTTTCCACTCTCTTCAATGCATGCATAATAAATGAGCTCCTAACTGAAAATACTTCATGGGCTTTAAAAATAGGGTTACTCTAATTTACTCTGGAAGGATAGAATAGTTACATGCTATCAAAACCAAAAGGCAATTGTGGATGATGTATAATTTATATACTGTATATGAAACAAAACGATTATGTTTAAATGTTACTCTTATTTTTAACCATTTTTTGTTTGAAAGAACTGTACCACTGTGTACTATTAAATAATTATGTAAATTAAAATTGGACCAATAATCTAACAGCAGTAGATTCTGCCATTTATCCTTCTGTAAGGGGAAACAGGTTGATTGGAGGCCAAGTGGGTTAGTAAAAGGAATGGAATAATTTTCAGTTCTGCTTGGGTGAAGGTTATTCTGAACAGCAATGACTGTTTTTTCATTTTTTTGGTAATAAACAATGGAAACTAAAGGGCAGTTAGCAGCATGGAAATCAGATGAAAAAGGTGTAAATTATCTTTAAAAAACGCCAAGCATGTAACTAACATAAAACTGTTGGTTTTGCAAATGCCAGCAATCTAGATATTAATGACAGTTCCCTGGCTCTGGATACAAAAGGGACTGCTCCCAGTAGATCACATAGTGCTCACCTGATTCTGTCTGTCTTCTGGCAACCCTTGGCATATGGTTGAAAGTTGCAAGTGTTCTCCCAAGAGCTGGTTACTTCCTGTCCCTCCTTTTTATTGATTGTCTGCAATGCATTCAGTTTAAAACGTGCATCCTTCATTTATTTGAAGTTTACTTAGCTTGTCGAATGCTGTGATGATGACAGAGCTGTTGTGGGATCTAAATTTTTTTTTTTTAAAGAGAAAGCCTGAAGATCCTTTGTTGTAAGGTTTCAGGTACACTGATTGTATCTCTCATTTGCTTATGTACAGAACACTTTTACATTTGCTTTTAAATTCCATTTGTTGGCTTGAAAGTTCTTGGAGAAAAAAAACTGTAGAGAAGCATCTTTAAAAATTATTGCCTGATAAATGGCACTTAATCCAGATCATGCCTTATTGTGGTTAATATCTAACATTCCAAACATCATATTTTCCTTCTTGATTCAGTTATTATGGGATAACATCAATGATTTTCATAGTTAAAAAATGCATTTGGGATTCATTTCACCTCCTTAGAGTCTCAGGCTTAACTTTATTTGTGCAGTTTATTCAAACAGTGGTTTTCCTTTATGAAATCATTTAAGTAGGAACCATCTGGAAAGGTTACTGTGGAAACAGCAGGGACTGGAAGGTGGGGCTAGAGAGCAATAGATGCCATGACAACCTTTTTCGGGTTTCCCAGGAAACATGGGTTGCTATGGGAACTGCATCAGTCAGGTCCGAATTAGTAACTTCCGCTGGAAGGGGTGTCTGCCACTTTAATCTTCTTGTGATACTGCCGAAGCTTATCTCTCAGATGCATCAGGAAATTTTTTGTTTCTCTCAGCAGCACTGAAAACATCTGTTTCTAGACTTTGATAGATGTTGAGGCTGAGACATATGCACAGAACTTCACAGGAATGTGTTAGTCTAATGCTTTAGAAATGCTTAGCAAGCCCGAAAGAATTAAACTAATTAGTCAGATCAGGACATCTTGGGCATTTCCCTTCATTCAAAGTTGGAGAGACCCTTAAAATTCTGGGAAAAACCAAATAAACTCGTGGTGGGTTTACAAGTCATTATTCTAGTTAGATTCTTCATCCACATATCTACAGGGTAGGCAATCGAAATACTTATTCAGTAAATAATGTTGAAAAGTCCATCAAACTGAAGTATCATTTACTACAAACTCATGTGCTTAGGAACGAAACAACTGCCTTTAAAATTCTGAGGTTAAACAGTTACTTTGTTCTTTAGTTTCATTTCCTCCCAGGATGTACTGCTTTTTTTTTTTTTTTTTAAATAGGGCGTGTACTAGAAATGAAGTTTAATGTAAGTTTGTTGTTTACAATATTGAGAGAGAGAGAGAGAGGGTAAGGGGAAAAAGGAGAGCTGAGAGAATGCAGCCCACTTGCAAAACAGGCACCTGTTTCAGTATGAAGCAGTAGGGAGAGGGAGAATGAAGTGTGCTTCCCACTTCTTCAGGTCCTTTCCTTGATGAATGGTCTGGAAATGTATAAAACAAGGGCATAGGCAGACCAAGGGGGCACGTTCCACACAATACTGGGCACAGCATGTCACTTGTATTATATATTAAACATCGGTGAATATCTTTTTGATGTTGACACAGGAGTTGGGATTATTGTTCGTGGTGCAGGTGGCAGTGGAATTGCCCGTTTTGAAAGGGGTCTGGGGGAAAGCGCTATGGTTCATACCCCCCTCTTCGATCACCATATACTCCGACTTACTCAGAGTCGAGTTACTTCTTGCTTTTCGGAGCTCCTCGGCCGAAGAGGAGAGGTGCTGGCAACTTCCTACGTGCAGGTACTGGGCTTGCTCTTCCCCTTCCGTCTCCCGGTGGTAGAAGTAATTGAAGTTGGAAACAATCACGGGAACTGGCAATGCGATGGTCAAGACACCGGCGATGGCACAGAGAGATCCCACAATCTTGCCCCCTATGGTCACTGGGTGCATATCGCCATAACCCACTGTTGTCATGGTTACCACTGCCCACCAGAAGGCATCCGGGATGCTGCTGAAACCTGAGGTGGGGTCGTCTGCCTCGGCAAAGTAGACCGCGCTGGAGAAAAGGATGACCCCAATAAAGAGGAAGAAGATGAGCAACCCCAACTCTCGCATGGACGCCTTCAGCGTTTGCCCGAGGATCTGCAGCCCCTTGGAGTGGCGCGAGAGCTTGAAGATGCGGAAGACCCTCACCAGGCGGATGACCCTCAGGATGGCCAGGGACATGGCCTGCTGTCCGTTGCCCTGTCGCTCGGCCAGCTCGGTACCCAGAGTGATAAAATAAGGGATGATGGCCACAATGTCAATCAAGTTCATGATGTTTCGCGAAAAGGTGGCTTTGCTAGGACAGGCGAAGAACCGCACCAGCAGCTCGAAGGAGAACCAGATGATGCACAGGGTCTCCACCACGAAGAAGGGATCGGAGAAGCTGGAGGCTCCCCCGGAGGCCCCCGACGTGCTGTTGCCGGCTGCATCGAACGCGTCCTGCGACGGCGAGGAGGGGTAGTCCTTCTCGTCGCGGAACTCCGGCAGCGTCTCCAGGCAGAAGATCACGATGGAGATGAGGATGACCAGCACGGACACGATGGCGATGCCCCGGGCCGGCCCGGAGCTCTCAGGGTACTCAAAGAGCAGCCACACCTGGCGCTGGAAGTCGCGGCGGGGCAGGGGCCGCTCCTCCTCCCGCAGGAAGCCCTCGTCCTCGCGGAACTTCTCCATGGCCTCCTCGCCCAGCTGGTAGAAGCGGATCTCCTCGGAGAAGATGTCGATGGGCACGTTGACGGGCCGGCGGATGCGGCCCCCGGACTGATAGTAGTAGAGGATGGCGTCGAAGCTGGGCCGGTTGCGGTCGAAGAAGTACTCGTTGCGGAGCGGGTCGAAGTACCTCATGCGCCGCTTGGGGTCGCCCAGCAGCGTTTCGGGGAACTGGCAGAGGGTCTTCAGCTGCGTCTCGAAGCGCAGCCCCGAGATGTTGATGACCACGCGCTCCCCGCAGCAGTCCTGCTCGCCCGCGGCCGGCAGCGAGGGCGGCAGCGGCTCGTAGCGGTCGCAGCCGCCGCCGCCACAGCCGCCCTGAGGCGGGGTCCCTCCACCGTCGGCCGCCTCCGGCTCCAGCAGGTGGTCCCCGGGCACCACGGTCATGTCGGGCGGCAGCTCGGGGCCTGCGGCGGGCTCGGAGTAGCCGGGGTTCACCAGCGTGTGAGCGCCGCCGCCGCTCGCGGGGCGCTGGGGAGGGTGGGCGCGGTGGCGGGCGGAGGGCAGCGGCGGCGAGCGCAGAAGGCTGAGGTGCTCGTCCATGCGGCGGGGAAGAGGCGGCGGCGGCGGGGCCCGGTCGCTCCTCCTCGCGCTCCCCGCCCCCTCGCCGCCTCCGCCCCCGAGCGGAGCCCGCCGCCTGTTGCAGCAGCAGCCGCGAGGCTCGGTCAGGGTCTGGCGCGTTCCGCCGGGCTCCCGCACAGAGACGCCTCCTCCCTCCGCCTCGCGTTCCCCGCCCCCTCCCCCGCGGGGCGCGCGCCCGCCTCCGCGTCCCTTCAGGATTCCCGCCCACCGCGCGGGCGCGCGCCCCGCGACCGGAGAGAGCCGCCGGGCCTGCCCTTCTTACCGCTCTCTCGGACCCTCGGTGTCAGCGAAGCGCCCTCATGTTGCACCTCGGCGCCCCGCGGGAACGCCCACCCAGCGGAACCGGCCCACGGGGAGTCCGGCTGCCGGCCCCGGCCCCTGGGCTCCGCCTGCTTCTGGTCCGCGTCCCTCGCCCCCGGCCCGCGTGGCCGCGTCCCAGTCGCCAGGAGCTCCTGCCACGGCCCCGCGGGCGCCGGCCCCCTGGCCTCCACACTCCCCCCGGGCCAGCCGGGGATGGGCAGGCGGGCCCGGTGTCCAGGAAGGGAGTGCAGGCCAGGCGGGCGCCCTGGGCCAGAGGCAAGCCTGACACGGGCGTCCCAGGCTCACTTGAGGGTCGAGAACCGCCAGGCCTGGAAGGAGCGGGGGTCTTAACAGTTTAGCTCCTGCTGGGATGAGAAGCCAAGCGCAGTAAGGGTGCTGATGGGCTTCGCCAACTGAGTCCGAGGGAAATGGATCGTTAAAGGCCTTCAGGTCCTGCCGCTTTAGTGAATAGTTCACACCCATTTTCGCAGCGGAGATTTCGGCCACTGGGAAGAATCAAGGACCAAGTTTCTGATTGGGATTAGCAGTGACAGCCTGGGCTTTATACACTACATAGACTTCCTATCGGCGGGGAAGTGAGATGAAATGGGAAAGGAAATTCACATAGTCTAAGTCGTGTGGTTAGAAAGTCCGACTTTATGACTCAAGTGTGTCGTGGAAGGGATGAGAGCAGGACCTGTACCTAGACTTTTTACTTAATATTTCAGCACTGCCCTTGTGGTAGGGAATTTGTCAGGCTCTAGTCGTTAAACTGGGAGGACATTCATTCTGCAACTTGTACCTCTTGCTTGATCTGGGCCCAGAGATAACTTACATGTATCTTCTTTAAACGTATTTTTCCAAATTGTTGTGGTTACTTTGAACACAATTGTTTCCAGAAATTTTAACAATCTAATATAAGCTAACCCTAGGCTTTAAAGAGTCTGTTTTTTTATTGTATCATTCAAATCATTTACAGAAGAGGAACTGTTGTCTAGACAGCTCCTCACCCACCCGAAGTTCGCTGACAATTCAATTTGAAGTAAGTGATTTGTGGTCAATACTTCCCACCACCACTCCCAACCGTAGGGTTCTCTAGGGCTCAGAATAGGTCCTAGCCAATTTATACTGCTAGTATCTACCAAAGTTCCTTGTAAATAGTGGGGATCAGTACACATTTGTTTAATTGAATTTCCCAAGGAGTGGCTCTTTGCACTGCTATCTGCTCTGGAGGGTCAACATTTCTTCTTTTTGAGCCCAGGATCCTATTGGGATTCCTAAGACGAGGAGTGAGGAGAAACAGAATTCACCGTAGAAAACACTGCTCATTTATTCCATAGGACTTCCACTTCTGGCTCTCCTGGGCACAGCAGGCACCTATGTACTTTCACTGTCCCTTCATCTTCTGTTTCACCTCCTGATCAGTGCCAGGCGATGCAAACAGCTACTTCTGTTGTGAGATGGCAAAACTAGGCAACCACATAAAACTCTCTTTCTTACAAAACTCCAGAACATTGGCGTATGACAGCCACCTCATTATTTTGCACACCTCATTTTTTTGCATTTTTTGAGCTGATGATTAGAGTAGCAGTATAATCAATCATTCGTATATTTAAATCTTGGAATGAGACAGACTGCTTGCTGCAATGATAGCTCATGGAAAGGCAAAGACCCTATTTTTAAAGACCAGATGTTTCATGTACTTCTATGTCTAACTTCGAAAGTGATTTATTCCTTCTTTTGCAGGAATTAGTACTGAAATTAATATTAATCAATGGCAAGGAAGACCAGAGCAGAGGTTAGTCCTGTGATGAATGGTCACAAGCTTCTCCCAGCTGTGAAATATCTTTCCTTCAGAAATGACTATTTCCATTCCTTTCATGGATTTGCCTTGTCTGGAAGACTTAATTATGAGCTTCTTAGGACATATATAAAGCCCTTACTTTATATTTGAGGCCCAGAGAAGTTTAGCAGTTTGTTCGAGCTCACATAGCTAGTTAACAGCAGAGCTGGGCCTAAAATCTTGGACCATTTCCAAATCCAGTGTTTGCTCTACTGTATCGCACTGTGCAACTCTTATGTTGATCACTGTGAGTACTTAATATACTAGATTTCTAACAGCAGCCTATTTGCTTCTGATTGCTGACTAGTTCACTTCAATTCATATTTATCTTAACTGAAAACCACTCCTTCTGATGGCTAGTCTATTGTCTACAGGAAATGAGTTGGTGGGCTCATTCTAGCCCTGTTGGATAGCCGAACCCATCACAACAAATCAATGCCAAAAATGGCATTTAAAAAGGAAAACATACCATTTATTTAGTACCCCCAACAGAGCAGCTCAAAGTGATTTGAAAATGTCTCATTAATCCTCGTGACACCCCTGTGTGATAATAATAATATTATTATAATGTTTAGGCGTAGAACTGTGGCAAAGCCAACAGCTTCTCTGAGCATGTGCAGGATTTTCTTATATTTCAGTCTGTAATACTAGAGCCTGACTAAAACCATCAGGTTTGCAAACAGCAAGGGTAAATAAATCTTGGTGTTTGGCCTTTCTGTGTTGCTCTAGGCATAGCTTGTGTTTCCTACTGACCACATCAATCGTAGAAATAGTTCACTAGTTGTTTGCCAGATGGGATTAGCTCAGAAGTGTTTGAGAGTGGGACAAGGCAGGGCTAGACATCTTGATCCACAACTATAGATGAATGAATGGAGAAAGAGCACCTAGTAACAGTGTAAAAGCGTTCCTATTTCTCCACATCCTCTCCAGCATCTGTTGTTTCCTGACTTGTTAATAATTGCCATTCTAACTGGCATGAGATGGTATCTCATTGTGG